CTGCTCCCCGCTGGCAAGTGGACATCCCCCGAGGGCTGCCGGGCTGCCAGAGGGATGTCTGATTGCCATCTTAGGCCCAATCCCCCGGGGAGCGGGCCTAAGCCAGCAGGTGGTCATCCCCTGAGGGGTCCCAGACTGCGAGAGGGCACAGGCCGGGCTGAGGGACCCTCCCTCCCCCCCGAGTGCACAAATTTTTGTGCACCGGGCCTCTAGTATACTATAAAAGCAGAAAACAGTGTCCCTTCCTGGAAGGAACTTACAGTAACCTAGTATAGCAGACAGGTTACAAAGAGCACAGATTATCCTATCAAGTTTAGTGATATCAGTAACCACCTCCAACTGTTTTCAAGGGGTTATGTTCCTGAAAACATCCATTGTGAGAGAATTCAGAGCTAAATAATATAAGACTTTAGAGTAAATACCAGGTTGGGAGATAGATTCGAAGATCTAGACTGAACCTATTAAAGTCCTTGTATATTTTGACTTAAAACAGCATAAATAAAGAAAAGTACCATTAGTAGTCTTATACATATCTTCTATATATATAAAAAGCCAGCATAATGCCAGAACAATCGAACGACCAGTCGCACACTGACCACCAGCGGGTAGACACTCAATGCAGGAGCTGCCGCCTGGTGGTCAGTGCACTCCCACAGTGGGAGAGCCACTCAAGCCAGAAGCCGGGTGCATGAGCCTCTCCCGCCTCTGGCAGGCGCAACCTCCAGCAAACAGACTGCAGTCCTAATGCCTGGGTGGTGGGGGTGTAGCCGGAATGACCACGGATCAGCCTTCACTGGCCCCTGGTCGCCCCACGCTCCCTTCAGACCCTGCAGCTGCACCACATCCCTTACCTATTGCCCTCTGGGTCTCCGGATGCAGACTTGGGAAAAACCCACAGAGGCGCTTCACAAATGTACTGCCTGGGCCGGCCCCCATCTCAAGAGCAAGTGCTGGCGACATCCAGCCCAATGACCAACACCCAGGCATATACGTGGGTGAGCCCTTCGCAACTTCCACCTACCACCCGGCCCCGGCCCCATATCCCGGAAAAGTCCGTGACCTGGCACCAAATACCTGCTCCTGGATCCCTGCAGAGTGCTGGTCAGCTCCGGTGGGTGGAAGGGCACCAGCAGGTGCTGGACTGACCTGTTGTTTGGTTCAGGCAGCCCCACACTTGGGCCAGGAGTTGTGTGGAAAAATCACCCCCTATACTCTGCTGGTACAATCTACTGTGAACAAATGCAGCATGGAATGTTTGTGTGTGACTGGGACAACCTTGATACTGATGCTGGCTCCCTGGAACTCCCCCTCAGGCATCAGGGCCATGTGGAACTGAAATATTAAGAACACGCCTTACCTAACCTCGATCCGTCTCTCCCTCCTTCCTTCCTACCACCCTCAGCTGCCATCGCACCCTTCCCAGGCCTGGCCTGCATCCGGGCTCCCTTGTTCCCCTCAGATCCCTGGTGGCTCCTGCCGATGGGAGCTCTTGAGGATGGATACACCCCTCCCCTGCCCCCCGTGGTACCCACCCCAGGGATGCCCACAGTTCAGCCAGAACTTGCGGCGAGGCACATACCCTATAAGCCTACAGGTACAATCTCCGGGGAACGAATGAAGCACGGACACTCAGAGTAACCAGGATGAGCCTGATATCACTGCCATGCTCCTGGAACTCTGCCTGGGGCATAGAGATAAAATCTCATCCCTTACCTATTGCCCCAGAGCTACAGAGGAAGGCAGCAACATAAAAATGGCCACAAGGTGGCGACTGACAATCAGTGTAAAAGTCAGAGAGATGGATCTGAAGGGTGTGGATGTGGGAGAGATAGCACCCCCTCCCTCCAAGATCCCCAACTTTGTATTATTCACCTCCGAGCATCTCTTATCTGGCTCTGAGCGGTGGAAAGCATTCAGCATGGCCCAAGGTGTTCATTGGAGACCTCCAGGCTGGCAAGGCGCAACCCTGGCCGCAGAAGGAATGTTTGGAAATATTTTTTCAGGAAGCTGCAGGGAGGACAGACTCCCCACACGACTCCCCAGTGGCTCAGGGAACATGGAAACTCCCTGGGTGCGGGCTCCCGATTTCCTTTCAATGTGCACAAATCTGTGCACCAGGCCACTAGTCTTAAATAATAATGGCAGCATGTAATCAGATTCCATTGCTTGCCTACTATAAACTTCATGATTGCCTCTCCCACAGTTTCAGGGAGATGCTTAAAAGTTCACTATGCTTTGCTTCATTTAGGTATTCTAAGTAAAATTTATTTTGTCTAAATGTTTATCCACATACTCCAAGCCTTCTTGGTTAGATGACTCCTCCCATGGCCAGAATCCCAGGGCTAAAGACCAAATGGCACCCTGGAGACAGTAAAGCATTGGGCAACCTGTATTTCTCAAATGCTCTCTCAATATTCCAGGTAATGTGGTGCCAGCTCAGGCCACAGTGTGTGGCTTCAGCCCCTTGTACACACACCTTGGTGCCTTCTCTCCTGAGAGAAGCCATGGGAATAATGCTCAAAGATCTGGTTGATTCTCCCTCAAGCTCTTTATCTTCACCAAAGCTTTATATATGATCAAATCTGAGGTCCTTTTTCTATTACCAAACCAGGATTTCTGTTTCTCAATTAGAGAAGGCAGAGAGCATGGTCTGAGGAGTGTGACTCTGGTCAGTGTGTGGACCACATCCCAGCTTCTCACTTAGGAGTGGACAGGACTTGAGCAGATCACGGGGCTCTCCAAGCTCCAGTGTTCTCATCTGCATAACAGACATAAAGATGACACCTGTATCCACATGCCTGGCACAGAAAAAGCGTTCAATAAATGGTGATTGCTATTATTACCACAACTACTTCCAAACAGAATGGTTCATATCTTACATACATTTAATCCAAATTCTCCCAATGCTAAGAAGGTACTGAGAATTAAATTTGCATAAAATATATTCAGCTGATGACATGTTTGAGGTTAGGAAGAAATTACTGTGCACACATGAAAGCTAAGGGGATAATAGGGTTTAATGGGCCTGGCAGGGTCCAATTCAAAAGATTTTACAATGGAAGTTAGAGTTTGCATTGTAACAATTTTATCTTCTCTTGAATTTTCACTATCAAATAAGAAAATCCCAAACAGAGCCAAATCATCCAAATAAACCAAAAGATGTAAAAAGAGCCAGAATTTAATGGGCCTTAAAGGCAGGTATACTCGTGCCACAGTCACACAGGGTTTCCTGGCAGGAACCTGTTCACAGGAAGCGAGGTTGAAAGTTACAATTGGTGAAATCTCATTCATTCAAAAATATGTGTTAAGCATGCAATGTTGTGCCACACCTTCTATTTCCTGAGGTACAGCAGTTCAAGACAGACACAGTCTCTGCTCCGAATGAGTACACCCCATGAGGAGAGGGCAGTTTGATATGGTGCATGATAATGGCTGCCAGGAGCAAGATCTAAGGAGTCAGGAAGGGGTCCCAGAAGATTTCATGTCCAAGCTCTAGTTTGAAACTTGAGTGGAAATATGTGTTTTTTCATCTGCCCCAAATGCTTTCTCCACTTCTTTTTTCCTGTAACAATCCTTCAAACGCATGTGATCACGGTGAGAGCTGCAAATAAAGTAAGATGACTCTCTGGCTATAGGCATAGGCATGTATTCCAGGCTTGAGCAATCAGAGTATCCCATCTGCTTAACCCATGGAGTGACCCAAGCTAAGCTTATTGAAGGCCTTCTCTGGGATGTATATAGTCTGAAGGCAGGAGAGAGAGAGCTGCAGTTAAAATGAATAAGCTAGATTCATCGATTGACCTGACTGATAAAAAAGCAAGTATACAGT